TCATTCCACTTACTTTTTTGGTCTAATTATATACAGCTTTCTCATTTAGTTAATACTTTGGAAAATGAGATTTCTCTTCTTCCCAAGGTCATTCTGTTTAGACCCGGCTGATCACTGAGTTCCAATAACACCTCCATGTTTCCACCCTTCTCTCTGCAGTCCTTCCCACACACTAACTCAGTCCTGCTCAGGTTCCCCTAGTGGTTCTCCACTGCCCACAGAGGGTCTGATGTGGGCGTCTCTATGTTTCCACCCCTCCTCCGCAGTCCTTCCCACACGTTGCTAACTCTGCAGAGCACTACATTCTGCTGATGGCCCTCTAGTGGCTCTCCACTGCCTGCAGGTGGTCTGATGTGGTAGCCAAGACTTTCAGGAGGGTATAGAGCATCTGTGAAATAATCATTATGAGTTGAGACTAGGCGGGAGCTACACATGGTATTTAAAGACTTAGAAAGAAAAAGAGCATATGGATATATTATTGATATTTTATTGATTAGATTGAAATGGGATGGTATATGTTTGAACTGAGTAAAGAAAAACTACTAAAATTAACTTTTTAAAAAAATACACCTACTAGGAAATTATTCAATTATGTATACTTGTTAGGAATGATTCTGCTTTATTAGCTTTGACTATACAGTTCCATAATTTGACACTGGTCTCCTTTGCACGGTGCCCTCTCACTGCCCAGCTGCTCGGTTGTGTATTAGGGAGATGAAGGAAAACAAGATGCAGTTGATATTTGTGAATAGTACCTGGCACTTATCTTCCTAAATGCTCACCCAGACCATAGTAATGGGAATGAACAAATAAGAAAATCAAGGCAGAGAGCTCAGTGCCTCCAGACAGCTAGTAGGGCCAATCCTGGCTGCTGCTCTCCTTGGATCCCTGCACAGTCAGACCTTTGTAAGTGAGCATCATTGCATCACGACCTGCATGCAATGTACACAGACTGATTCTACAGACAAAGTCAAATGCTAGTTAAGAAGACAGCCCTGCCTTCATTGCTCCTCTGTGGGTAAAAGTCTGGGAATGGACTTGAAGGAAGCAGGGATCCACCATCCCACTGTCTTCACCTCTAAGGGCCCCTTCTGGCAGGAGCATCCTAAGGAATATACACATATGGTGTTAATAAGAGTCTTTTTGACCCAGATGAAGTTGGCCCCTAAACACAAGTCATGTAGTCCATCAGGTGCTTGTTGAGGAATGACTAGATGGAGCCCTAGATCTAAATGGCCGTGGATTTAGTAGGTTGAGCCATGTTTTGTTAGTCCACAGCATGACATACTCTTAATGAGTTTCAAGAATCTTTTTTTTTTAAAGTTCTCATACATGACCGTGATTACTTGACCCCACCATTACTGGATGAGGCAGAACATCATGGCAGAAAGCAAACGATATAGCACGTGACTTATCCCATGGGGGACAAGAGGAGAGAAAGATCATCATGGTAGGAAGTGATGGAGCACATAGCTCATGCCATGGGAGATAGGAGAGGAAAGATCATTGTAGTAGGAAGTGATGAAGCATGTGGCTCACACCATGAGAGACAAGAGGAGAGAAAGATCATCATGGTAGGAAGTGATGGAGCACATAGCTGACGCCATGGGAGACAAGAGTACAGAAGGAACATCATGGTAGGAAGTGATGAAGCATGTGACTCATGCTATGAGAGACAAGAGGAGGGAAAAGATACAGGAAGAGACCAGGCACAAAGTAATATCCTTTAACTCCCTGCTTTAAGTGGCTTACTTCCTCCAACCAGCTGGGGCCACCTCCTAATAGCCCATTCAACTCTGCATTCATCTGTGGAATAGAAGTAACCAGCTGATGAAGTTCACATCCTCATGATCCAGTCATCTCTCAACAGCACCAGCTGATGGGGTGGTCAAACCCTTAGCGCTTGAGTGTGTAGGGGGATGCTTCTGTTCAAACCACAGCAGAGCGACTCTGTATCAGTGACTCTGCTGAATCAAACTCAGGGACCCCTTCCTGGGTTATCTACCTCTACCGTCCACCCACCCTCTGTACTCAGAAACTTACACTATTTTCCCTATATGATGGGTCCTCACTCTGTGCGTGTTTCTGCATATTTTATGTGCTTGATACATGTACATCTGTGCTTTACTTAGTTGTAGTTTCCATAGAAGCCAGAAGAGGGCGTCAGATCCCTAGGAACTGGGATTGCAGAAAGTTGTAAGCTGCTGTATAGCTGCTAGAAATTGAACTTGGGTCCTCTGGAAGAACAGCCAGTGCTCTTAGCCACTGAGTTATTTCTTCAGCCCCTATTTATGCTTTTATAAGATAGAGGTTCCTGGAGCAGGGTGTGCCTCCAGTTCTTTCTTTGTAAAAACCACCCCGAGAATTGCAATAGACAGAGCATACCTGAGTGGACAAAGCGGAGGGAGAAGATGGGACCCCAGATATATCGTACAAGATGCACGTAAGAGCACTATGTAAATGTTCTTCACGCCTTTGTTTGACAATCAGTGATTCTCACTGGTTGCCTAATGTGTACAAGGCACTGTTATGAAACAGTTGAAAGGGAAAGACAGGGAGAGTTAAGCAACTGAAATTCTCTTAACTCTTTACTTTCGTACCCATTATTGAAACATTTGGACACTGATAGCCAGCATTGATGTCCTCAGAGTCTTCATTAAAGGGTTGCTAGGCAGATTTCTTGGTAAGGTAAAACAAGATCAAATAGGTTTTGTTTTGTTTTGTTTTTTCCCCCAGAAAGACTCTAACCTAGGCTAGCACCTTTTAAAAAGGAAAAAAAAATGGGAGAAGAGGAGGGGTTAAATGTTGCTAACAGTCTGATCCGGAGGAAATCAGACATAGCAATGTCCGAACTGTCTGATGCAGCTCTTTCCTGTAAAATTCCCTGTGCTCTTGAGGTTAGTTGGTAGCTAGCAGAGTTCAGGCACACCAGTGGATGCCAGCCAGCTACTAAGTGCTTGCATCCCAGTGACCGTAATTAAATTATGGAGAATCCCATTTTTTTTCCTTAGAGCATTTCATATATTTAATGCATGAGTATGAAAGCGTCTTCATGTGGAGTCCCCACCTTTCTCTCCAGTCTCACTGTGTGTTGGGGGAGGGGTCTGCATGGTATATGGCACAAAGATAATCAAATGAACCTCTTGTCTGGACTGTAAGTGGTTTATCATCTATGACAGAGACACTAACCTAAGCCACTGAAGAAATCAGTCTGTCTCCAATGGGCAGAATGTATTTTATAATCTGGGAGTAACTAATGTGTACATTTAAAGGGCAAGCAACCCAGATGGTCATGCAGAATCTAACAGTATGTCTGTTACAGTATGAGCTCGATGGAGTGCATTTTGAGTAGATCCTATTTAACATCCCCAGTTTCCCATGGTCCTGTGCTGTTTCCCCTCAGATGATGTCATTTGGTTGATGACCGAAGAATTGGTCTTGGACATTTCCCCGCTAAGTTCCCAGCTCCTGGAAGGCAGTAGCTATCTATGTCTCAATGTTCTTACATATTATGTGTATGTATATGATATGAAATGTTCTTAGTTGATAGTCGAATAATAACTTAGAATTCACAAAGATAAATGTCGCTTCTGGGCATTTGGGGGAGGAGATGGTGCATCAGACATTTAACTTTCCAGAAAGTGTATAAGATGTATCAGGTTAAGAAAACCAGACATCCAAAGGGGGGGGGCATCGACAGGATCTTGGAAGAAGGATAGCTTTTCACTTGCACAGATGAGCTTGGGACGGTGAGGAGGAGCTGGACAATTCCAGCCCCTCATAGAGGCACTGTACCTGAGCTCAGCTTCCAATCCAGGTGCGTTGGTCATATGCTCTACATATATGCTTCTGGGGGCTCTAGGGAGTTTACACACATTTGAAATAATAGCCCTCTAGGGGTAAAGAAATCCATCCCTTCCATGGTTCAGTACCGGGCTCTCATGAACCCAGGACTAGAGCAGAGACGACAGCCAGATTCAGAGGGTTAGAAACCTGTTGTGCAGGAAGAGTAGTCTGACTGTCTCCCTCTGCCTCCCCGCCCCACCTCTGGCCAATGAGGCTGGGTGACAAATGACCTTGATATCCCCTTGCTGTTTAGAACTGGCAGAGGTCTGAGGACGGTTAAGGCAGTGGAGTTAGGAGAGATGGCCATCACTCCACTAATAAGGTAACACCCCTTGTGTGTGTGGAAATGCATGTGGCTTTTCCACAGTTCTCTGAAGAGAAGCATCTCCAGCGTTGGCCTTTGCCACCTTCCTTCCAGTTCTTGCCTTTTGCCCCCTCCCCACCCCTCCCCCTTGTTTGCAACTTGGCTACTGTGGGAAAGGGGACCCTGAAGCAAGTTCCCAGGTTGAGATCTGCTTGTCTAATAGAGCTGTCCTCTGCTTTTCCTCAACTCCAGTGACAAACCTACTGTTTATCTGGTGTGGGAATAAAATCAAGGCTCGACTCAAAAGTACTAGAAAAGCCCGGGTGTGGTGGCACATTCCTATAATCCCAGAATGCGGGGAGTCTAGGGCAGAGGAAAGCAAGCCTGGGGCCAATAGTGAGGGAAGAAAAGAGAACAATGTATTTGTGGGTTAGTCTATTGTCCTCAAACTTTCACTTTTGCATTAGAAAAGCAATTGTTTATTAGTTCTTAAATTTGAAGTTCTTGATTGATTTCAGCACAGCTTAAACAGTTAAAACCTTTTAGGATTCTATCAAGCATCATTGTGTAAATATACCGGTGGGAAAATGTACTTTAAAATTCCCGGTCACTGTTAGCCATCCATAAGGAAAGAGACTGAGGGACTAGTCCAATAAAAATGATCAAATGTGTGTGATCTCCAGCTCCCAGGTCAGCGCTTCCGGTCTCTAAAGCATCAATGGGCTGCACTCGGCTGTAGTGTCAACTAAAATTCTGAATCACAGCAGGGCTCCCCGATTGCCCTTCGCCTAGTTCATCATGCCTTTAGCATACGGGTTTTGAAGAACAAATTTCCCTTTTCTATTAGTAAGCGTGATAATATAATGACCTCAATTAGAGAGAGAGTAAAAAAAGGCTCACACATCTAAAAATAGCTCCATTATCCGTGCAAAGAGGGTCCCGGTTCTGTTTCCTCCGCCCCTGCTGATATTAAGTAAGTGGCGATCGATCAGGGAAATGTCTGGCTCCCATTTCTCATAAATTGAAGGGCTGTGGCTTTAAGTAATCGCGGGCTGCCTGTGCCAGAGGCAGGAGCTGCAGTATCAGCTTCTGTGGAGAGAGAGAGAGGAGTCTGAGGCAGTAACCTGCAGGACGCAAGGGAAGGCCACTAGGGCCAATGGCGCTCCTCCGCTCCTCCGGGGTTGAGCTTTGAATGTGGGCAGACCCGACCCGGTGGGAGGCGGGGCCACCTGTGCACTACTCAGACAGTGCATGGGGTGGGGGAGTTGGAGACCGAAGCTGGAAAATGGGCTGCCCCAGCAGCAAAATGTGCCTGTCTCCTCCATGTACAGCAACAAGGGTAATTAGTATTTGCTTACAGGACTCTACTGGAAGGGTGTCAGGGACTAATACAGACCCTGTCTGGAATCAGGGCTAAGTGCTTTGGATTGAGAAGCAACTCTAGCCCGCAGAGGCCAGTCTCATGATCTCTGCCACACTGTGATCCAGATGCGGGAGCCCCACATCTGTGGTGATCCCAGGAAGGGCATTTGCAGAGAGCTTGGAAATTCTCTGCCTTCTTAGTTCCATCCTGGTGCCAGGGAATCTGCAACCCCGGGAACGGTGTCTAACGATTGTGTTTGTATGTGTGGATGTGTGATTGCTCCAGATCTGCAGGTAACTTGAAAATTATTTTTTATCGCAAGATTGATATTTGCACAAACAGCCTCCTGATTGCCTTTACTTCACTTCTGTCAAAGGTATTTAGACTTATAGTTGCTCCATGATGTAATAATCCTTGGGAAATGGTGTGTAGCTGGATAAAATCAATTTAATTTCATCTTTAAGAGATTAAATTTGGTTTGTCCTAGTTTAAAAACAAACTTTCTTTTTCTTGTTTAGAGTATAGGATTGGCCCTGTAACAAAAACTTTTTTTTAATTTGCGGATATGGTACAAAGTCCTTATAAGTGCCTATGTTTAGAACATTAAATATTTATCTTAAACCGATTAGGCCTTTATTGCCCTTGGAGGGGGAGAATGCATTACTTAAGTACAGTATACATTAGCTGAAAGCGCCAATGGGTCTGCAGTGAGCACCAGACGCAAAGCAAATATTTTCAAATGAGCCATTCATTTCCTCAGGGGAAAGTTTCACCAGGACCTGGGAAAAATACAGATTTTCGAAACCCCAAATTCCTTCATGGCAAAGGGACATCTGTGTTTTGCTTTGTTTTTAACGACACAAATTGTTAGCTTAAGTGATTTGCGTCTTGGCTCCTCGATTCTGGGTCTCGTTTTCCTAGCAATAGTAAACGTGTTTCTTACTGAAAAGGGACCCTCTCCAAACCCTGAGTAACCCGATGTGTGTTTTCCGCAGCGGGAGGAAGCTCTGAAGCAACACAAAACCCTCTCTCAAGAACTCGTCAACCTCCGGGGAGAGCTAGGTAAGAGCGAGAGAGCGAGCAAGAGCTCCTTTTCAGTCCTTGGTAAAGTTACTGCAATTGACAAATCTGCGCTGCCTTCCTGCTCTGCAGCTGGAGCTGCACGTTGGCGGCTGCTTTCTCCCTTTCCTGTATCTGTGCAAACGCTTACTATCGACATGGCTTTTGAATCTTGGCAGTGTGACCTCAAGATCACAGAATTCCTGGCACTGGTCTCTGAGTAAGCTAACAGGGCTTTCCGATGACCAAAGCGTGCTCCCTACCCAGCAGACTGGGACAAGATGATTTTTTTGTGATTGTGTGGCTATCCTGTTGGATAATTATGTCATGTTATTTTAATTTCTTTTTCGGAACCACTTTTTATGTTAAAGAATGTTTAAAAAGTCACTTTCTCTGTTAAGAGTATTTACATTACACATCTCAGGGATGGTATGTGTGCACTTACAAGGATGGTAAGACCGCCCATCAGAGCAAGGACGTCCTCTGCTACTCAGATAGTCAGGATGAGCTAAGGAAGAGCATTACCAACTCCAGGAGCAGCATGGTGTGCCCACACTCTAAGTCCTATTGTTTGCCGCTTGAGTTCTTGGCTCTTCTGAAGATCTAAGATGTGAAGGGCAAAGATAATATTGTCGCCCTCCTTTCTACCTCAGCTCCAGTGTTCTTTGCCCGTCACCCCCACAACACACTCACTCGAGGTCTGTGGGGCCCCTCATCCTAGGAATCTAGGAATTGGTTTCTTGATTTAGCGTCACCTAGATCTGGAGTTGTTCCCAAAATGTCACTTGCCTTGTCCTGGGCTTTGCTCGCTGCTGGGCTGTCTGGAAAGTACACCTAGCAGAAGTTCAAGGGGGAAGAGCTGGAGATAAAGAAAATTTCGTTCCTTTAATTCTCCAAGAATCCTGTTTTTCCTCGGAGAACCAGACCATAGTTTAATCACTGCCAATCTAATTTGCTGGGACTGGAATATTTGTCAACAACTCCACTGGTCCAACCAAGGTAAAGGTCATGGGCCGGTGCCTGTGGGGTCAAGAGTGTGCCCTTTCTTATACCTTGTACTGCCCAGTGGGAGTTGAGACCAATTCATAGCTAATCCTTGAGGTTCACGACAGTACATAAGGCATCTGTGCCCTGTGGAAAAGTCTCGTTAAGACGGTGCAGAGCTCGGTGATGGGAGAGGGCCACTGCAAGGGCGGCCCTGATCCCAGACCGCTGTGAAGGCCTTCCACTGTCTAATTTGATCTGGCTGCCTCCGTTTTGCTTACTCAATGACCAGCAAAATTATTTTGTCTGCGCCTTAAGTACTGTAATGGATATGCAGTTAGGAGGTGAAGAAAGAGGGCCTTTTGTGCATTTTCAGAGTTCCTCAGAACTCAGCGGAGGTGGCGATGAGCCCGCCTCATTCAGGTTTCCACTCTCTGAGAGAAGTCAGGATGGGACAGACGGGGACAGTGAGCTCTCAGAACTTCTGCTTGAATGGGATCCTCTCTTCACAATGAAGCAGTTTAAATGGGAGCCCGGGTCCCCAGCACTTCCAGCTATCACGGCCTGTCAGGAAACAGCCGTCTTTTGTACTCTCGCCTCTCTGTCCGAGATAAGGAGAATGTGGCCTGGTGTGTTTTTCCTGCCACTGTCAACGTGTCAGGATGCTATGGGTGGCCTGTTTGTATTGTTTTGTCACCCTAGGCTGGAATGGGGAAATGGTGTCATTTCTGCTAGCTCCTGAGTCAGACAGGCTTGCTCAAGTACCAGCACTTGCTGAAATACCAGCAAAGGCATCCAGGAAAAGGTTTGATTTGGCCAGCAAATAGCAGAAGAATCCCTTGAACAAGTGTGATGAAACTGGGCATAAAGAAGGTTCTCGAAGCGTTCAGATGCGTTTGTGTCATGGGCCAGAATGGAAAAAGATCAGGTTGGACATCGAAGTTCAAACCTCAGTTTCCCAGTTTGAGACAATAAAACGTGTAGGACCATGGTGTCATAGTATCTAGGTTCGAATCCTTGGGTTGGAAGCTGGGTGACCCAGGTCTATCAGGTCACCTTTCTCCTGCCCCAGTCTTAGTCTCTCTAAAGTGACAGGACACACGTGTGTGCCCCAAGGATGGTCATGAGGCTCACATGAGGTAAAACATTGCAAAACATCCATGCCGGGTGTTAACTGCCATTAACCATGCATACTGGGATATCTGCAGTTTTGTGTTTATATTGTGTGTGTGCCTGTAATCCCAGTACTCTGGAGGCCAAGACAAGGGGATTGCTTCAAGTCCTAGGCCAGCATCGTGTGACAGGCCATCCTGAGCTACATAATGAAAACCTGCCTCAGACACACACACGCACGCACGCACATACAATTTCACAGCCGTGTCATGATTAGCCACATTGCCTTTTTGTGAAAGCATAAACCATACCATGGGAAGCAATAGTAAGCAGATGAGGTACTTTTAGAAATCCCTCAGGACAGGCCTATCACACTCAAAGGCAGGGAGACCCGACCAGTCAGTTGCTGCTATATTGGTGTTTAATGTTGGGTTAGCAGTGTGGGATTTTATTCACACGGCCCCAGTGAGGAGTGACTTAACATTTCTGAGAACATAGCGTTTTCAGTTAGGTGATGTGGTCTGTGTATCTTGCTGTATTGCTGTGGAGTTTGACTAGAGTAGTAAAATACACTTCAGTGGTGGCCTGGTCCCTGATGCTTTGCAGGCAACTTAAAGAGCTGATGTCTTCCAACTTCACCAAAAAAGTAGCCACCTCTTCCCTCAGAATAACCTGGGGCTGTCAGTGCCACTGGTCAATTGGATAATCTTTCCTTACCTTCTCTCCGAAAGCTGGGATAAGCTTTTCAAACTACTAAGGATTACAGAGAGGGAAAGACAGCTTATAAACCCCGGAACACTGCAATTCCAATAGTCTGTGCTCTTGCCCTTCAGAATCTAATGGTTGTCTTCCACCTCCACCATCACTGAGTCTGAATACCTTCTCATTTGGTGCCCCACACCTCTTCTTCCTAGGCTGAGCCTTCTCATCAAACAGGCAGCCAGCACGTTTCTCCTATCTGACCCGCATCCCTTCTTGGAAAGCCTTATTTGCTTGGGCAAACTTCAAGAAACCCCTTTGTCTACACAGAACAAAGCCACAAAGTTCCCCCTGTGCCGCGGACCCTCATACCTTGCCCAGATGTATTTCATGTATCTTATGGTCTTCTGTTGTCTTCAGACTCTATGGTCCTTAACTGAGGAGAGTCTTTCCTGTTCCCTCTTTAAAAAAAAAATCTTTATGAACTCCCCATTTGCATAGCTTACTGATGTTCATTGGCATCTGAGAGTTAAAAATTTAGAGCCAGTGTATAACAAGAAATACACTATAGTCCTACTATCCTGGCGTAAGTTTTGTGTGGCCTCAAGTACATAACATAGCTAAAGATGCCTTGCCTGGCCCCCTTGCCTTTGTTTATAGAATATGTATAACTTTATTACCTCTATTATTTCAGTTATGAAGTAACAACAAAAATAATTAAATGACTTAGGGTCATCACAACATGAGGAACTGTATTAAGGAGTCTCAGCCTTAGGAAGGCTGAGAAGCACTGCTCTATAGAGTAGGACAGCACTCAGACTATATGACCATGACTCACCCGTCTATTTTTTTTAAGCCAGTCCTTCCTGAGCTGCAGGTGTGTGCTGAGAGGCCCCGCCTCTAGGTGAGCTGGCCTGGTGAGAGGACACTTTCTCCTGGATTGCTCCTTGCTTCCCGAGTCCTCCGCACATCTTCTTACTCAAAGTGTTCCTCATCCCACAATGTTCCAGGAGCATCCGTTGAGTCACCCGGCACCCAGGACAGCCGCTGACTCACACAGATCAGTCCTCCTTTCATGGACGATACTGCCATGGCTACCCCACAGGGTACATATCTCTCCAGCAGGCCACAGTGCCCTTTTCCATGGACTCCAAAGAGGGCACTGGTAAATCTGGCGTTGTAGCACCCACTGCCTTTTGTACTTTGTTTTTGTTTGTTTAGAGCCTGGTGCTCTTTCCCCTCATTCAGGCCTGGTTTCCTACAGGTTTTAGGCAGGGTCTAATTCATGTGTCTCTCTACCTCTTCTGCATCCGTTACCTTTCTGCCAAAATGTTCTCTCCTCTTGATGCTACCCTACTAAGTCTAAGTCTTGCCTCTTAGACTCTTCATTTGCTCAGTTTTTAAAAGTCCTGTCCAAGATATCTTGTCTTCAGCTGAGTTTCACCCGAATCTTTCAAACAAGTGAATTTTACTTTCCCTACCTGTCTGGTTACTTGGTCCACATTAAGGCTTTTTGTACTGAGCTGTTTATGGGCCTCTTCCCTTTTTCTAGAGCTATGAGGCCTTCAAAGGCAAAGTCACCATCTTCTTCAGTTGTGTCATCCTGGGGTGTGCTGATGCTAAGACTGTAGTTAAAGGATGGATGTTGAACCTAAAATGGTGACAGAGAAGGTGGGCTTCCCCTTGTAGTGTGAAGAGGTTTGAGGAGTTTTATAAGCACAAACATTTCCATTGAGCTGCTTTAAAAAGGATCCTTCTGTCTTTCGGGATGAATGATAGTAATGGCGATGTATAATTCTGATGGAAGTGCTGTGTCTCACCACGACAGCGGTTCACCAGAAATACAGTTTTTGCAGTATTTTACTGTTACATTTCATGGTCAATATTTAAAGCAACCTTTCACCTCCGAGAAAGTCATTCTGATTCTCTCTGGAGTCGTGTTGAATAAAAAGGTGGTATGTGGTGGTCTCTCACCACAGTCTTTGAGGTTCCCATTGTTCTTAAAATTACATTTTTCTTCTTTATAAAGAAAAAGATTTGTTTGTTGTGGTGCTGGAGATCAAACCCAGGGCATTGCACATGCTAGACAAACCTCTGCTGAGCTGCACCCCTAGACTCAAAGAAAAGATATATATATATATATATTAAAAAATTAGCTGTAAGAAGTTGGGGCTAACTCTCATATCTTTTTATTCATTAAAGTCCCAATTGTATTTCACGAACCAAATGAGATTTTAACCCTTAATGCACTAAGCATTGCTAGAATTCCTGGGCTAAGTGTGTTAAAACCTTCAGTACTTTTCCCTTTTTATGTAAAAATTGGGACAGATATCGGGGGCATTTTCTGGATTTGAATCATTCCTAAGAAAGCAATATTCAGCTCTAAGTAGTTTATCATATAAAATAAATTGAGGCTCAAAAGCTGCTTTGCATTCCTACTGTTAAGCAGTTCTGGAGCCAAAGGGTTTGGAAAAGAACCCAAAGTGGCCAAGCTATCAGATTTCTGTTAGTCCTGACAGAAAGTGTTTCATGTGACCAAAACACTGGAAAGTCATTGGAAAGCAATAGTAGCAGGCATTGACAACTCCTGACTTTTGGGATCTTTCTCCAATCAAAGGCGTAAGAAGAAGTAACTATTGCTAAATCGGAATATCTTCTTACCTTCTTTTAAAAAAGTAAGTTGTCAAAAACCAGAATACAAACCATCCGATGAACACTCACCCAGTGAGCCGCAGACTACTTCACACCTTGTGGAATGTTCCCAGTTCTTCATTTGATTCTGGTGTAACAAGACTGGGTGTCTGTGGTGATGTAGACACTCTATAGCTGATTACAAGAGGCATTGTTTTAAAAGTAGAATGTGATGAAACAGCGGCATGAGAAGACTTTTTTTAATCTTGATGAGGTGTTTGAAGGAGGAGTTGATAGCTACCTCAGAGTCGGGCCATTCTCTTGTTATCTCCGTCTGTCCTAAATTTGGACATGACTGTCTCTATTGGTGTGTAAAAGTTCTTTTACCTACAGACATGCATACTGCTGCCAACAGTATTTTGGCATGAAACTTCTTGTCCTGTTTTTTTTTTCCCCCCAACACTACAATCTCAGATTTTCCTAACTCCAGGACACTTGTCTAGAGCCATGTTTCACAAACATCACCGTGAGATGAAACACATTTTCCCGTTCCCACACCCACCAATTCTAACTCGTTTAGTTTGGGATGGAGTCCAGGAATCTGCACTTTTCGTATCATCCAGGTGATTCTGACATCAGAGGCGCTGGGTTTGCACCCCAACACCTCACCATCTAGAATGTTGCTTTTATTTAAAAGGGGGTATATGAACACAAATAGCTCCAGGGGACTTTAGTCCATTCCTATATGCTGAAAGTTTATGCATGCCTGAGGACTTGCCTCTGAGCTTTTTGATCTCTCTGCCGTAAAAATGAAAGATCTGGAAGGAGGCAAGACGAACTAGTTAGTGACTGGTTAGTTAGGGAGTTGTTGCATCGTTTGGTGGAAACCTGGTACTTTACACTGGGATTCCTATTCTCAGACCTGCGTCTTAGGACTCATTGTCACCAAAGCATGAGCTTTTGTCTCTGATTTCACTTTTAGTCCTTGATAGTTTTTTTTTTCACCTATGTGTGGAGTGTGCACTGCTCTGACAAGGAGAACGGGGGTTCTGCAGCCTGTTGTTGGCTAGGGCACGAGATGAAAACAGCCGAAAAATCCTTCAGATCTGTACTCGAGCGGGAAGAAGGACACTGGCAAGGAGAACCCGTCAGTGGAAGCTCAGCTGGGCACCTTTGGCAGCAGGCGGCAGATAGGCTGACAGGACCAGATTACAAACTGCCTTCCAGTAGGACTTGGTCATAACTATCAGTGTAGGAAAAGAAGGCCAGGGAGAGCATTGATTTTTTCCCACCGTTCAGTCTGTTGTGGCTCTGGAGGAGAACTGAGCTATAGCAATCCTTGGTGTCTGTGCTAACTTCTCCCTTTGAAGTCCTAGCTGGGGAAAATTGTCATTTTGATCCAGTTTAGAGTTCTGTGTTTGGGACACAGGAGGTTAGGGGATCTCAATTCTGCTCTGCGCTCCCAGTTCCCTTTGGTAAAATGGGACTTAAGGTGGGTGGTACCGCTTAGCAGCTCGGAGCCCTGCATGAAAATATAAGCTGGATTCACTCAGGAGATCTTGTCTTTTTCTACTTCCCATGTAGATTAGATCTATGTATGTGTCTCTTAAGGTCCTCATTGTTGTCTAAGTTCTCTGGAATTGTGATTTGTGGGCTGGTTTTCTTTGCTTTATGTTTAAAAACCACTTATGAGTGAGTACCTGTGATAATTGTCTTCCTGAGTCTGGGTTACCTCACTCAAAATGATATTTTCTAGCCCCATCCACTTGCCTGCAAAAATTCAAGATGTCATTATTTTTTTCTGCTGTGTAGTACTCCAATGGGAGAGGGTTGAAGGGGAGGGGAGAGATAGGGAGGGGAGCAGAGAAAAATGTAGAGCTCAATAAAAATCAATAAAATAAAGAACAAATAACCCAATAAAAAAGAAAATATGAGCTTGAGAGCCTTTTGCAAGGTGTGAAGTTAGTTTTAATGGTAGTGTAGTATTATTGATGGGGAGGTCGATTTCATGGTGCAGACAAGTCTTTTGTTTTAGTTGACCCTTTGTGGACATCACATCATGTACCCCAGTCCCACTCATCTTCCTGTCCCCTCGCATCCACCCTCCGCCCTTGCAACCTCCCTCCCCAAAACAAAATTTAAAGGAAAAACTGAAAACCAAACAAAGCAAACGAGAAAGGAGAATCACCACCTTGACAAGGAAGCTGTAGCGTGGCCCAGTGAGTCACGCCGTTTACCCTTTAGTCCACGTATCTTTACTTGGAAGTGTTTGTTGCCATGAGTCATTGGTCTGGCTCGAGGCCTCTGGTTTCTGCTGTACGATCAATAATGAACTTTCACTGGAACTCCTTGCATATTCTGCCGTTGCCCTGTGTTGTGGAGACCCTGCAGCTTTGGATCTGTAGGTTTGCCTCCTTCACGAGCTGCAGCAGTTAATAGATGAGGTGGATGCTGGGGTGGGCCAACTCAGAGCCCAGGTTCTGGGCCTGGTAGCTGGGTTGGTCAGCCCACCATGTTTCCGTCACCGTCACTACTGGGGTTGGCTCTCCAGCACTGCCTCAGCGAGCTCACCCAATGCGGCCTACCATGAGGAGCTGGGTCAGTTCTGCTCTTAGGCCCTTGGGTCTGGCTCACTGGCACTCACCCCATCAGGGGCAGCTCTGTTTTCCTAGGGAAGATGTGGGGCCTGCTCTCATGATTGCTGTAGGGAACATGGGGAGGCAGAGCCAACTCTCCTGCTCTGACGCCTTCAGGGTTAGTCCCCCCCATGACTCCACCAACGGGCTCGGCTCTAGTGTGCTGCCCAGGCAGGGTGCAGGGCCTGCTCTCCTGTGTACTGCAGCCTGTGAAGAACAAGGCTAGTTCTCTACTCTGGTGACCCCAGAACCAGCTCTCTCACCAGCTGCAGGGGTCAAGGGATGAGGGCTAAGGGTGTCTTTCCCTCACCCATGCCACTATAGGGCAGATGGGGCAGGAGTAGGGTTGGGACTCTCTGGCTCTCATACTCTCAGGGCTGTCTCACCTGCAACCTCTGCCAACAGGGTTAGCTCTACCATGCTGCCCAGGTGAGGAGCAGGGCCAGCTCTCCCACCACCACAGGGGATGGGGAGGCAGAGCCAACGCTCCTGCTCACACCTTCAGGGCTAGCTCACCTGTGACCCCCACCAACAGGCTCAGTTCTAGTATGCTGCCCAGGCAGGTACAGGGCCAGCTCTCACACACAAGGCCTCAGAGCCAGCTCTTTCTCCACCATAGGGGATGCAAGGGGGGGTCTTCTCTCCCTTGTGCAAACAGTTTTATAAGAAGTCAATGACCCAAAAGTTATGATTGTGGGAGACTTTGAAACTGTTCGCATAGATTTGCAGGCATCAAGCACAAGAGCAACCAGAATGCCATTTGCAGCTAGTTTTGAAATTTAGAGGAGACCCTGTCTACCATGGGTCTCCCAGGTTACTTGGCTCTGTGGAAGCTGCCTTGGGAGAAACAAAATGTGAAGGTCTTGGCGTTGGGTGGCCACCCCAT